CCAAGCTGGGTATGGCGGGCACACCTACAGTCCTAGTTACTTGGGAGGCCAAAGCAGGAGGATCACTAAGACTAGGAATTCAAGGCCAGCCTTGATAACATGGCTCAAAACAAATAACTAAAACAAAAACAAAYAAACAAAAACCCCAAGTCATCAATATATAACAATTTTGACACCCATTTGGGCAAAATGTTAGTTTTTTAAATTAAATTTTAAACTCTAAGAATAATCTTTGGTGTTCAGTTTGCCCTTTGGGTCCTTGGTTCTATCCTCTGATGCCTTCTTACCTTTTCATGAAAGGTAGCACATATTTACAGATGAGTCACTTGTCAGCCTGCTTCCTGTTGGTAGAATTTTGTAGGATCTGAAAGCCTTGACATACTACCCAGTTCCAAAGCCAATCCCACATTTGGATTAGTTTTCTATAACTACATGACAAATTTAGCAACTTAAAACAAGACATTTTCTTACCATTTCAGAAGGTCAGAAGTTCAGGCACAGTTTACCTGAGTCAGATCAGGTGTTATCAGGCTGCAATCTACTGATTTTTCTGGGGCTGCATCCTCATCAGAAGCTCAACCGGGAAAAGATCTGCTTTCAACCTCATTCAGATTGTTGGCAGATGTCACTTCCTTGCAACTGTAGGACTGAGACTTCTGGTACTACAGTCCATCATAGCAACTGGCTTCCTCAAGTTAGGCAGAAGAGTCAGGCTCTCTTTATCCTTCTGAGACCAAGTTTTATAACAAACGTGACATAGTCTTAGGAATGACCTCCCATCATCTGAGCTATAGTCTTTTGGCTAGAAACAAATTGTGGGTTTTACCCAAACACAAGGGCATGTCATTGGGGACCACCTTAGTATGTATCCTCTACATGTTCCTTTGCCTCCACTGCACTCTTCACCCTGACAAAAACCCCTCATGGCCTTTCATATTAATATCTTCAATACTTTTCAGAATCTAACATAGAGCTCTAGATAAAAATTTAAAGCTGCAGTTTTCCAACTTTTATTCTCAGGACTCCATTACACTCTTAAAAATGTTATCTAGCTTTTGTGTATATGGTTGTTCAGTGCCAGAGCTGCAAACACCCCAACATACAGTTAACTGATCCCAAAGAAAGAATTTGGAAGACTCAACGGAGAGGTTTTGAACATTTTGTTACTCATGCACTTCTTATCAGCAGCAGGCAGAGATACAATGGAGGGCTGCTCATGTCCCTACAAGCAGCATGCTCACTGTGTAGTTGGATTTCTTCAGATATTTTATAAGTACATTCTTTTTAAAAATATTTATTCCTAAGTTTTAGGTGGACACAATATCTTTATTTTACATTTATGTGGTGCTGAGGATTGAACCCAGTGCCTCTAGCATGCTAGGTGAGCACTCTACCACTGAGCCATAATCCCAGCCCCTATAAGTACATTCTTTTAGGTCACTCTGCTTTGGTTCCTACATGAAGATTGGAGTCAAGGGAAAGAAGCGGGCTTCCTTTCTATTTCCTTCTTTAGAGTCCTTATCTCCTTGCAACCTTTCCTAGGCACTGATCAGTGTTTAATCCAACAATAGGTTACACCTATTTATATTTACTTTTAAAATAATTCATTTAAAAATAGTTACAAGGCAGGGGGTGTGCCTCAGTGATAGAACAATTGCCTAGCATGCATGAAGCCCTAGGTTCAATATTCCCAACACGAGAACGAAAAAGAGAAAGGAAGGACAGGTAACGATAACTTATTACATATTAACATTTATAACTTTTTTATAGTTACATTTTTCAAAAAGTTTGCAAGATTACATTTTTGCAAAAATTTTTAAATGTCTGGCTTATTAAAAGGCAGCTGAATTATTTTATCTGCTTTCACATTCAATTACAAAGCATGAAGCCTCTGGAAAACTCCACTGTACGTTCACCACCGAATAAGAGTTAAAAAGGCAAAAGTCTTCTTCACTTTATTATCATGCAAATAAGGTGACCTTGTGGGGAAAGGATGGTGGGGGCACCCACGCGACCTCAGATCGCTCTTTGTAAATCACTGATTGAAAGAAATGTCACGTGTTGAGAGAAGGAAGACACTTGGGATTCAAGAAAGTATTTACTGGGTGCCTGCTCTGTGCAGACGTTGTTCAAAATGAACTAAACAGATCAGTRCATGGCCGTAGTTTGCACATGGTAGGACCGGCTGGAGTTGATATTTGAGCTGAGACTTCAGTGACAAAGAGCCGGCTACGCAGAGATCTGGAGAAACAGCTTTCCAGACACTGAGAGGACGCCTTCCAAAGACTGAGCCTGTCCGGCTCGGGTAGCCAGGAGAAGTCGGAGAGGTGGGCAGGGCGAGATGGGGCGGAGCCCAGGTAAGGAATTTGGAGTTTTAAGTAAATTTCTTAACGGTGTAGGGAAATAGCGGGAGAGGTGGGATAGCTAAAGGATGTTTGGAGGCCAGGAATGTCGTCTAGAAGTCAAACACCCTCCTCGCCTGCCTGCCTGCCTCAAAATGGCTTAGCSGGGTCAAAGTGTAGGAGAAAACGCGCATGCTAACTCGCGGAAGCTTGGGTCTCGGCGCCCGCCGTAGACGTCGTGACAGACGYGGCCCGTTGCCTTGGAGCCCGCAAGACGCTGCTAGGCCTCCACCGCAGTGGAGAGCGGGGGCCCGAAGGCCTCAGTCACCATGTCTGTGTTGGACGTACTTTGGGAAGACCGGGACGTCCGTTTCGACGTGTCCTCGCAGTGAGTCTCCGAGACGCCGCAGGAATGCACTGCCTGTAGAGGGCGCCGCGGCGCGAATTCTGGACCCGCGAGCTGGACCTGCGCCTCTGCAGCTATCTGCGCGGGGCGAGGGTGGGGGGTTATCGCCTGCAGCGATAGACCTTCTGGTCACTGCGGCTCTCCTGGGTCCGGCTCTACAGTAGGGAAGCGGCCAGATTCTACAAGTTCGGTCCCGCGCCGTCTGCGGTGGTGTCCTGGCCACGGGACTAGATCAGGAATGTGAACCCCACGTGGCAGGGACCACCCAGTGATTTCAGTTTCGTGTGGTGGAAAGAACTTAGGCCAGGGATTCAGGAAACCAGGCTCTAAAACTAGGTCTGTGATAATGACACACATTGTGGGCCTTTGGACAAACGACCTCAGCATTCTAACCTCAAATCTATAAAATGAGGGGAGTAGGAGTGAGCATTTTTCAAAGTTCCTAACTACATAAACTTTATGTGTGTAGTACGAAGCTCGTCTAGTTATTCATCTAAGTCACCAACCGGAAGATGGAATTCTGTTTTGGAATCTCTCAAACAGAACCCCTGTTTTTGGAAAATATCATGCTTTAAAGAGAAGATGGTTAGAAACCACCTTTCCAAAAATCCCGGGAAGAAAATTCCCATTGGAATATTGAGTGTTGGAAAATATTAAAGTAAGGTCCCTGGACTAATGGCATGGAGCTTCTGGCCACTTCCTATGGTTCCTTATCATGGACAGTACCTCCTTAGATGGGAAAATGAAATATTTATATATTTCTCAGGCTTTGTTGTGGCTGAATACAAAAAACTAACATGCTATTAGATCCTTTACGATGTTGGAGAAAAAGGAATTTGTAAAATTACAAACCATAGTTACATATTACACACATTCTATGACTTTTTCTATTATTCTTGGAGGGCTCTTAATCCAAACAAGTCCATTTCATGAACATTTCAGTTTATTAATGATTTACCAAATGCTTATTGTATACTGGTTATTATGCTGATAGCTATAAATACAAAATAATAGGAAATAATACTCATGTACCCCTCTCATTCAGTGCAGGAGATACACATAGACAACTATAATACATGTGATAAGTACCATTCTGGAAAAAATGAACAGAAGAGAATAGGAACAGAGCAAATCAATATGCCTGGGGAAGGCTTCAAAGAAGAAATAATTTGCATTGGACCTTAAAGGATAGCCAGAACCTTGTCAGTGTAGATAGAGTATTATAGAAAAAAAGGGTGGGGGACTAGAAGCAGAGTCTTGGGGGTATATATAATCCTCTTTGACTAGAAGGCAGGTTGTGTGCAGAGACAGGTTAGCTGTACAAACAGAAATGTAGGTTAGCTTCAGCTGAAGATTTTGGACTTCATATTTCAGCAGCTGAATGACATGGAAGACTTTTAAGTAGAAAGTGATATGATCATATCAGGATTCTGAATAATTAATTGAGTTATCTCTATGGCAAATTTAGTAGAAGGCTTTATCCAATCCGGTAGTCTCTTAGTTCCTTGGGGGTGGGTTGGTTGGTTGGTTGACAGTTTCATCAGTCAGCAAACTATTCTTCATTCTCTGTTTCCTTTGTCTCATATATCTAATTGCTTGACAAGTACTGAAGATGTTTTGCATACAGTTGTTGAAACATTCCTTCCATAATTGCCTCATGTCCTTTCCTCTACTTAGAAACCTCTATGGTTTCTCCACTGTCCACAGAACAAGTTCTATACCTATTAGGGGATTCAAGGTTCTTCATTATCTGGTTTCTTCTGAGTTATCCAAAATGTATTTCTCATATTACTTCTCAATACCTCTTCTTCCCCAGCCAGGCCTGTCTTCTCATATGCCCCAATCTTTTTTGTTTCTGGTCTTTAATTATGGACTATCCTGTCTTTCCCTTCTTAGTTCTCCAAATCTTACTCCTTTCCTTCTATTTCTAGCTTACTCTTAAGTGGCCTTGGTCACTCCAGGCATCACTGATCTCTAGCTTCTTGAAGACYTTATTTTCAAATGTATGAGAACTTGGGTACCATATCATCTGTACTGTCAGCTGTTTTATATTCACTTGTCTCTTATCCGACTAAATAGATTTCAAGCAGATAGAATTGTAGTTATAACACTAAAATGTTTATATTTATTTTAGACAAATGAAAACCAGACCTGGGGAAGTCCTTATTGATTGCTTAGATTCAATTGAAGATACCAAAGGGAATAATGGAGATAGAGGTGAGTATATTTGCTAATGTATTTTATATTTCTGGTTTAATTTACAGGTGTTGATTCATATTAGCTGGAGAATCTATGAAAGAGCATCATATGTAAATGTAATTATGAAAATAGAAGAGTTAAGCGCACAGGATTTTTTTTTCAGACTTAAATAGAAGAAAGAGTAAGTATTAAACTTGTAGCCAATGGACACAGTTTTCCCACAACTTCAGTCCATCAGTAAGCCCTGGTTTTGATGTCACCTTTATCCTACGTAACTGTTAAAATCTAGGAGCCCTATTTGTAAAAGTCATGGAATAGTTCTGATCCTTGGATCTGCCTGCTTAGATAAGGATATGGGGTAGTGAATGCAAGTAGGTCATATCTGTGATATCTGGAGCCATGCTTCCTTTTAAGAAATCCAAGAGTAATGCACAGTACTTAAAATTGACACCTAGAGCGGGACACATGGAGAGAATTTAGTTTGCATTGTGAGCTCAAGTACTATGTGACTTATCTTTTAATAAAGAGCAGCCATGTCTGGACTGTAGAGTGCTCCCAAACCAAATTTTACCAAGATTTGAACTTAAAGTCCAGGCTGCATACAACAGCTGTCCATGGAACCAGTTAACCAGTGATCAAGTTGTCCTGAAAGCATCAGTACTATTTTTCAGTGAAAAAAAAAAAAAAAAGAAAAGAAAGAAATAAGAAGCTTACTGCATCTTAAAAGTCTGGAGGAAAAGAAGCATAGGAGGGAGGGAAACAAACTTCTTCCTGGAAAGAAGAGAAATGAAAAGAGGAATACACCTTGTTGAGATAACAGGATCAGCATATACTAGGGAAAGAACAATAACCCTCGTGGCAGAGCATGATGATGGCTTTTTGGGTGGCCACTTCCTCTGGGAGACTTTCTTTCTTTTGACTTTCTTTCTTTCATTTGGGGGAGGGCAGTATTAAGGTTGAACCCAGTGGTACTCTACCACTCAGCTGCATTCCCATCTCATTTTTTATTGAAAAATGATCTTGCTAAATTGTACCTGGCTCTCTGAGCCTTTCTTTTGGTCTGCTGTAGGGTAGTATGAGAGCAGCAAGTTTTACTAAGTCTTTCTCTGTGAGGGGAACCTCTTATCACCATCTGCTACTGGCAGCCTATCAGGCTAGGGTCCATCCTTAAAGGAGTGCTTAGAACGTTTTTGAAATGTTTCCTTGTACAGTCAGACCCAGGTGAGGATAAAGTAGTAAGATCTAACCACAAGCAAAAAGTCTTGGCTTGTACCTTTGAGAGTAGAGTGACTGTACCTTAATGAAATCTGGATTAATTTATGAAGCCAAGAGAAATTTGGTCATTCTTGTACAGACCGGCAAGAACTCTTACTTGACAGTCCATCTTTCAATACAAAGATTATGATTAATAGAACATTTTTGATTCATTAAGTACTTATTGAGTACATAATCCTGTACTAGTATTTTGGAGGAGGATGGGCAAAAAGCCTCCCTAGTTGGAAATCTCCTTCACAGTGCCTGAAATCATACTCTTAATAAAAATAAATCTGTGTGTTTGCACAGACCTCAAAAACCTTTGTTTAAGTAAATTTTTTTTAAAGAGAGAGAGAGAGAATTTTAATATTTATTTTTTAATTATCAGCGGACACAACATCTTTGTTTGTACGTGGTGCTGAGGATCGAATGCGGGCCGCACGTATGCCAGGCGAGCGTGCTACCGCTTGAGCCACATCCCCAGCCCCTGTTTAAGTAAAAATTTACTGGAGTTTGTAGAGCTTCTGGTTGATAAGGAGGTAGAAAAGGGAAAGTGAATCCTTCTATCCAACCACCTACCTCCCCTTCTTTCACGCAGTTTGAAAATGACCAAGTTAAGACATCAAGTTCAGGAGCCCCAATTTTAAAACCGTAAGTACCCTAGAAGATTAGCACATTTAATCCATGTTCAACTGTAAATACCCTGCCATGAAATTATCCAATTAGCTTTGTGCACTGAAGCTGTRTGAGAATAAAATGGGCAGGTCCTTGCTGTTTGTTCCAGACTATGTTAATTGTTCTCTCCTCTTGTCCTTTTGGGTCTGGGCTGGGAGCAGGTCTGCTGGTTTACCCATGGTTCCTAATAACCCTCTCCTATTTTTGTGATCAGTCCTTTTGCAAATAAACCTCTGTTATTTTGTTGAGCGTGCCCTCTATTTTCTCCTGAAACCCTCATCATCTTTGATCTTGTGTGATCCCTACACTCCATCCCTGCTGGCTTACATATTGTTTGTCAAACATAGTTTTCTCATCATCCAAATACTAACCAGGCCCAAATCAGATGAGATTGGGCACATTCGGGGTGGTATGGTTGTAGACTTATTTGTCAAACATAAGTCTATAATTTTCCACAATCTCCCTTGAGGAATGCCTTCCTTTTTAAATTTTTAGTACCTCCTTTTCAAACTGGGGATGTAGTTCAGTTGTAGATCGGTTGCCTTGCWTGTGCAAGGCCCTGGGTTCAATTCACAGTACTGCCAAATTTTTTTWAAATTTTTCATAGAACTTCTTTTTCTACCCCATCCCATTCCAGTATTCATGCAGGTCTAATTTTTCTGATTGTAGCCATCCTAGGGATTTTCAGGAAGGAAAGAGTATGATCTGGCTATAGATTACTCATCAAAAGAATTCTGTGGGCTAGGGTTGTGGTTCAGTGATAAAGCATTTGCCTGTTTCCTAGCATGTGTGAGCTACTAGGTTCAATCCCCAGCACCACATTAAAAAATAATAAGCAAATAAAATAAAGTTATTTTAAAAATTTATTGAAAGAATTCTGTGGTTATAATTTCATGGGTAAATGTTATGTTTAATAAAGTTAAATGAATTTTATTATTTCGGGAAATCTCAAAGCTATCCTAATATGCTAATTACATTGTAAATTTCTAAGACACATGGTTTACTATGCTTGGATTTATTTGACTTTTTTCCCCTTGGGGCATCTATAGGAATTACTATTCTACAGGACATACTTTGATAAATTAAATATTTCTAACTTTATATTTCAATATAAAAATATCAGGCTGATGTTCACTTTAGCCTATTCATCTCACATACAAAAAATTAGGTATATAAGTGTGGCTCATTAAACAAGAACTACTAAGAGAACACTCATTTGACAGGGATTAGTGTGTATATCAGAGTTCATTGAGAAGTGGTTTTTGTTTGTTTGTTTGTTTGTTTTGGTACCAGGGATTGAACCCAGGGACACTTAACCACCAAACCGCATTCCCAGCCCTTTTAATTTTTTGAGACAGAGTCACACATAATTGCTTAGGGACTCGGAATGTTGCTGAGGCTGGCCTTTAACTTGTGATCTTCCTGCCTCAGCCTATCAAGCCCCTAGGATTGTAGGTGTGTGCCAACAAGCCTGACTGAAAAGTGTTATTTCAGTGAATAGTTTTGCAGTTATACCATACCATAACCATTCTTAGTTGTACACATGTGAACTGCTGAGACCCCAGAAAACCTTCCAACAAGACAAAACAAGTCCACAATTCTCATTCAATGTGAATTAAGGTAGTAATAGTGAATACCTGTGTCCCTTCTACAACTCAGATTTTGTTTCTCTAAAATTCTGAATCATACATTGTATACCTTACATAGGATAGATGTGTATGAAAAACATACATAGGTGTTGCTGCTGATACCTCATTGTATACTGCAAAAGTGTGTCCTACTTAAACTAATTAATTTTTGTTTGCTTGTTTATTTGTTTCCTTTTAGGAAGACTCTTAGTAACAAATTTAAGAATTATCTGGCACTCTTTGGCATTGCCCAGAGTCAATCTTTGTAAGTATCCTCGTAAGATAAAACTCTAAGGAGAAGAATTCCTTCTCATGGAACTTGAATGGTAGCTTTTGATACCAAACACAGCTTTGCCATGAAATTTGTGGAAGTCTGGAATTGCTAAAAACTTCAGAAGTCCTGGATTAACCACAGATCACATCAAAATACAAAAGAAACAATCCATTCTTATTTTTTAGCTTGTCCATTTTGTGTCTTAGACATGAATAAGATTAGGGTTTTTATACTGATTTTTTTTCTTTCTTTTTTTCCTTTGACAACTTGGTATATAATCTGTGTCAAGAAATCCCAAAAAAGGGAGATGTAAGCTTTAATAAAAGTAGGGTCTTTCATTGTGTTAAATTTGTTTCTCTTATTTTAAAAAACTATTTTAGACAATTCAGCTAGTCTTTTTCTTTTGGTGTAGTAGTGTTAATATTTTCACTGAATAATGCTGTATAGGTTTTATTAAAGCAAATTTCCTTTTCCCCATATATTTGTTTATTCAAAKAGGCAGAACCAAATCTCTAGTTCTTTTATAATTTACTTTTAAATTTATAATTATTTCATAAAATTTTTAAAGTTTTTATTTCTGTTTATGTTTGAGTTTTTAAAACTGTTTAAAGTTTTATATATATATGATATATAGATATATATTTTAAAGTGTTTTYTTCTCAGTTTACTTTATCATACTCMTTAAATTCTTTGGTTTTAAATTTTAGCTATCGGTTACAACTGCATATTGAATATTACAACAAGGACTGCTAACTCTGTAAGTCTGAAAAATCATATTGAAATATATGTATAGTGAAGAAACATTAGAAATGTGAATTCAATGTTCGTTTTCACTTAATACAAACCTTTAAATAAATTTGTCTTTACAGAAATTACGAGGTCAAACCGAAGCTCTTTTTATACTAACAAAGTGTAACAGCACTCGCTTTGAATTTATATTCACAAATTTGGTTCCTGGAAGCCCTAGACTTTTTACTTCTGTGATTGCAGTACATAGGTATAGTATTTGTTTATGGATTTTTGGATATTTTAAGGTAATTTTATGACATAAAGATTTAAAGGATAAAGTTTAGAAGTATGACACTCTCTTTCTCCAAACTTTATTGCACATATCCTAAAGATACTTAGAAGAGAATATTCTTATCATTTAATAAGCATTCTGAAGGAATTTATAAAAAACTTGTAAGGACTACTGAAGACTCATAAAAATTTGTAATGAAGATTCTATTAAATTAGCTGCCAAGGTAAATAAAGTGAAACAGAGATTTCATTCAATGTCAGTGAGTTGGATAATTCAATTAAAGAATTAAAAGATCATTTTTATACAGAAATATACATATTAGTATTTTGTTTTGTCATTTGTTGATTTCTTCTCTTTTCACTACTTTGATTTTTTTTTTTAACCAGCTTTATATACCATGATTTTTGAGAAAAAGTTTGATTAAGATGACAGGATAAAATATTGTTTAATTTGTATTTATTTTATTAGTGATGCCAAAAATTTTCATATAAATCATATATTTCTGGCTATTTGTAGTTTTTGATTATAAATTTTATAATTATACCATTATCTGTCATATTTCTTAGTTTCTTTTCCCTCTTCATCCCTCTTCTTCTCTCCCCGCTCCTAGAATCCTCTTTGGAATTTGTATAGATTCATTCAGTTTTCTGTACAGAAGTAGATGCAAGCATAATGTTTTCAGGTCACAGTAAGAAAAGTTAACTGGACTTCTGTTTATATTAAAAGATGATGATACCTTTGACTAAAATAGGGAAATTAAGAAAGGAATAGGTTAGTGAAATAAAATGTAGACACTGCATTAAAATGACAGAGTCACTTAAAAACAACAATACTATAGTAACACAGCCACATCAATGTTTATAGTAGCACAATTCACAATAGCTAAATTGTGGAACCAACCTGGATGCCCTTCAGTAGATGAATGGATAAAGAAACTGTGGTATATATATATATATATATATATATATATATATATTGTATGGAATATTACTTAGCATTAAAATTTAATTTATCATAATAATTATTTGAATGATTTACTTAAGTACTAACAACTATACATTTTAGTAGATAGGTAAATGTAACTGATCAACTTCTACCATTGTATAATATTCATGTGTCATGAAATATATTTCTGTTGAATTTTTCCACCCATTTAAAAATGTTAAAATCACTCTGTATGGGCTATACAAAAAGAGGTGGCAGGCCAGATTTAGCCCCAAGGCCATAGTTTACCTATGCCTGTTTTAGTTTATAACTTAGATATCACTTTTTAAGATCTTCCTTTTGGGTGTTCCTTATGCAAGCCTGTCCTTAACAATTACATTCCAAAATTGTTACTATTCTAAATTACATAGCTTGTCTATATCCTCCCCCATTAGATTGTGGGCTTTATAAAGGTAGTGATGGAATTATTCTATTCACAGTTAGTGAACACATTTTCAGTGTGGACTGGTCTTTTGTTTCTTCTTTTTTATAGAGCATATGAAACTTCTAAAATGTATCGTGATTTTAAATTGAGAAGTGCGCTAATTCAAAACAAACAACTAAGATTATTACCACAAGAACATGTATATGACAAAATCAATGGAGTATGGAACTTATCCAGTGATCAGGTATTATACAAAAAACTAATGAACCTCTTGAGACTTTGTTTTGTAATCTTTTTTTTGTTGTTGTTCATCATTGGGTTTGTGTATTCATTCCACTCTGTTAAAATTGGGCTGAGGTTGTGACTCAGTGGTAGAGCACTTGCCTAGCATGTGTGAGGCCCYGGGTTCGAGTCTCAGCACCACATATAAATAAAATAAAGGTCCATTTAAAACCAAAATAAATATATTTTTTAAAAAAATAAAATTAGCATTATTGCTCTTGATAAATTAGTATTATAGCTTTTGATATGAAATGATATTCTGGTTTTAATATTTTTATGGACTTGTGCTCTTTTCAGCAACTTTTGTTCTATGTAAAGTTGAGAGCTGGAATAGACCTTTGAGATCATGTTTAATATAGTCTCTCTTAACTCAGATGATAAACTGAGGCCCCAAAGAGTTAAGTGCCCTTGCAGGTGTAGCTCATTCAGAGCCATAGTTTTCCCCCTATATTATGCTACCCTCTACATTTTAATAACATAAGCTGATGGAGGAGAACCATGGTATGGACAGTCATAGAAGCCTTTTAATCTGGTATTTAGGGAACTAAGCATATACTCATTTGGTGAACCCTTTAACTCATCATTTTCATCTGCCCTTAAATGACCAGTTGGAACATGTAAGCAATTAATAATTGTGGAATAAGTTACACATCAATTTATAGAGAAAATTTTATCTCAGAATAGTTTTTAGATTTTATGTATGTTACCACCTAGATTAGACTGATAACCACTGTGGTAAAGCTATAACATTTGAGTGAAGAGCTTCTTGCTAAGAATTAAATCATGCTCAAACTGTGATAAAGTTTCTATAGGACATAGACAGTTTCCCTTCTGAAAACTCCTTATCTTTTAGATAAGAGGTAAGTATACTTTTTCTTTGAAATGTCAGATAATATATTTTTTACACAGTTAAGGGTCTGACTCAATGGTAGAGTGCTCTTCTAGCATGCATGAGGCCCAGAGTTCAGTCCTCAACACCACAAATAGGTARGTACATATGTACATACTGATATTTTATGCTTTTCAGGCCATACAGTGTTCGTTGCAATTGCTCAGTCTTGCCATTGTAATGTGAAACCAGCCATAGACAATATATAGAGAACATATGGCTGTGTTTCTTTTTTCTTTTTTTTTTTTTTTTTGAAAATTTTTTTTAGTTGTGGATGGACATAATATCTTTATTTTTATTTATTTATTTATTTTTATGTGGTGCTGATGATCGAATTCAGGGCCTAACACGTGCAAGGCAAGTGCTCCACCACTGAGCTACGACTCCAGCCCATGGCTATGTTTTAATGAGGGAAACAAATTTAAATGTTTTATAATAGTTACATGTCATGAAGTATATTTCTGTTGAATTTTTCCACCCATTTAAAAATGTTAAAATCAYTCTGTATGGGCTATACAAAAAGAGGTGGCAGGCCAGATTTAGCCCSAAGGCCATAGTTTACTAATGCCTGCTTTAGTTTATAACTTAGATATTACTTTCTGAAATCTCCCTTTTGTGTGTTCCTTATGCAAGCCTGTCCTT